GCTTCTTATGGATTAGCAAAGAGAGGGATTCACTGAGAAGGAAACCAATCCTGGAGAAGATGCTGTGAACTTTGTTGAAATGACAACAAAGGATTTAGAATATCATATAAACTTTTTTGGTAAAGCAGAAGGATTTTAGAGGATTGGATCCTATTTTAAAAGTTCTACAGTGGGTAAAATGCTATCTAACAGCTATGCATACTACAGAGAAAGGGAAGCCAACTTCCTTGTTGCATTATTTTAAAAAAATTGCTACAGCCACCCTAACCTTTAGCAACCACCACCCAGTCAGTCAGCAGCCATCAACAAGACCCTTCACCAACAGAAATGTGTAACTCACTGAAGCCTCAGATAGTCATTAACATTTTTTGGCAATAAAGTATTTTTAATTAATGCATGGCCATTATCTTTTAGACGTAATGCTAATGCATACTTGATAGACTAAAATATTACTAAAAGTAAATATATATTTATTTTTCCAGGGAAACAAAAGAGTTTGTGTGACTCATTTTATTGTGATGAATACTTTATTGTGGTGGTCTCCATACAAACCTACAATATCTCTCAGGGATATGCGTGTAAGAGTTGCAGTTGTTCCACATCTTCACCCAAACCTAGTATTTTCAGTTTCTTTCAAAATTATAGTCATTGTAATGACAATTTACTGTGCTTCTTGTTTACCTTTTTTTGACTAAGTAAAAATGTTGGACCTTTTGTTAAATACTTAATTAATGTCCAAATATCAAAAGAACCTACAGGTATTATAAAGCTAAAAGTATAAATTCAATTTTGAGTTCCCCATATCCTAATTTTATAAGTTTAGGCATAAACAAAATAATTACTTCTAATTTTTTTTTACCTCCTCTAACATTTAATTTTTCTTTTGTAGGTCTGCAAGCATCCTTGACTAAAGCCCTACCTACACTTCACCATGTTGGCATTTAATAACACCTTTACTTATTGGCCCACTTTTTCTTTCATTGGTATTCCTGGTCTGGAGACTGCACATACATGGATCTCTGTCCCCTTTTTTCTCCTGTACCTCGTGGCCATTGTTGGTAATGTTCTTCTCTTCATCCTAGTTAAAACTGAACAGAATCTCCATGAACCCCAGTTTTATTTCTTGGCCATCTTAGCCCTTACTGACCTAGGCCTTTCATTGTCCACAATGCCTAGTGTCTTAGCTATATTTTGGTTCAATATCCACCACATTGGCCTGGACGCCTGCCTGACCCAAATGTTCTTCATCCATACCCTGTCCTCAGTAGAATCAGGTGTACTGGTAGCAATGGCTTTTGACCGCTTAGTCGCTATCTGTGCTCCACTCAACTATACCAGGATCCTGACCCACTACATGGTTGCCTGCCTTAGTGGGGCTGCCTTCATACGAGGTGCCACTCTACTGATTCCTCTGCCTTTTTTCCTCAGGACCTTTCCTTTCTGTGGGACCAACGTCCTCTCACACTCTTATTGTTACTACCCAGACATGCTGAACCTGGCCTGTGGGGATGTCACTTTCAGCAGTGTCTATGGATTGGTCTGTGTGCTATGCACATTTGCAGTGGATGTTGTCTTCATCCTAGCTTCATACACAAAGATTCTGAGCACTATTATGAAACTGGGGATCCGAGACAGAAACTGGAGATCACTGCACACCTGTGTCTGTCACCTCTGCACAGTGCTTGTGTTTTACCTGCCCCTCATCAGCCTCGCAGTACTACATCGTTACACACAGGAAACCTCCCCAATTTTATACACCACCATGAGTAATGCCTACCTCCTCATGACTCCACTGCTAAACCCTGTGGTCTATAGTCTCAAATCCCGGCAGATCCAGGCTGCCTTGCGCAAGCGATTATGGGTGCAACGTGTGGTTGCTGGAGAATGAGATTTGTTTGTCTAAATGAGAAGGTGGAATCAATTTAAAAAAATGATGTTCAGGATCTACTATGTGTCCCATAGTATAGTAGGCACTATGAACATAAAAATAAAAAAAAAATTATCAGGTACTTTCCTCAAGAAGCACTCACAATAAGTATGGAGAGAAGGAGAGGCCAAATGCTTACATAAATGATCCTAACTGTGACCATGCATTGTGGTTACTTGGTAGAAACAAGGAGAAATGCCCATAAAATGAGCTCAATGTTGTTGGTGTCTGAGCTGGATGAAAATCACATTGCCCCAGCTACTACCTTGAGGGAACTTACTTTGGACTGTAGAGTATCTATGAGGCACTGATTTTATAGATAAATCAAGATGTCACCTGATTCTCGATTTCCAATGTTGTGAAAGCTGGGGCATTAAAAATTCAAAATTGATAATAAATTTATGTCTGTATATTTGATATTTCTATCTCTTATAGTTGGATATTGGGTAATATTCTGAGCATTCTGAATATTGCAACAGATAAAGGAGAAGTCTGAAAAGAAATAATATATAAGAATCTGATAAATTGTTTTTCTTACCCAATTTGTTACTTCATTCAGACTTGGTTTTGTTTTCAATTTCATGTTGAGAATAGATTTAGTTATATACTGACCTCTGAAATAAGAGGAAAAATAAATTGGTCTGTTATCTTTCAGGGACAAATCTTTAAAATTTAGAGTCATAAGCACATGAAGAGTCCTCTGATTGAGTTGGAGGAAAGTAAAAGAGAAAGAATTCACTGTTCCGGTTATAAATAAATATGTGGTAGCAGTAGAAAGAATTTGAATTTACTTTAAGAAAATTATGAAAGGATTCATTCCTAAGTGGCAACTTAAGTAATTAATAAGAAATAATATTTTAAAAATCTGACCGTCAAATATAATAGGCAAAAGAGTAATGCAGAAGATATAATTATAATATTCACGTAACTTACATTCTACTATTGAAAATAATAGAACACTGAACCATGTAATACAATATAGTTAGTGGGGATGGGGATTCATGTGAGTTTCTATATGAATATAGAGGAAGAGAAGACAAAGAGACCTGGGATTGCTAAGTACTACATGGAAGACTGAATGGTCCATGAACAAATATTATGCAAATTTAAAAACTGTCTCAATTTAAAAAAATATTATCTTAGCTGTGACCTAGTATCCATTAACATGATGAAGGGTATTAAATATATTTTTTAAGAAGTATGTTATTTGCTCTCAGTGAGATATCACTTCCAAAGTATAATGAACACTCTCAAAAAGTAAAATATATAATTTCTAAATAAAGTCTGGATCTTAAATTGTTCCTCTATATTTTAAGGTCTAAGGCAATCATTTTCTTTATGGTGAGTCCTTCTGATCAGTAGCCTCTTGACTGACTTCCCCAACATGTCTGTAGGGAACTGGGAGCTATTATTGCATTTCCATTTTTTTTTTTTTTTTGAAGACAGCAAACAGTTTTCCCTTGAGGAACTCCTCACTTCTCTTATAGTATGGGTGAGATCAATAATATTAATATTCTAAAAAGTCGCATCCTGTTCTTTCAGCTACAGAGATTAAAAATCAAATAAAATCTTTCTACCTTGATGCTTTATGCTAGAAATAGTTTTATGCTAGAATACAAAAAACTTTCCTTTCTATTTGTATTATAGAAAGTACAAATAGAATATACCAAACCACTTATAGTCATTCCACCTTTTTAATCACATGGAAGCTAATGACTATTTATATTGTCAGAAAATGAGTATCGCCCAAAGAGAAGCAAATAGGAGAGACTGCTTTGGAAGAAAAAGAGAAAAATATTAATAAAATTAAGTCCTGAAATACTTCCTTTGATGCTGGACCAAGTCTGATATTTTCATTTTTTTTTTTTTTTTTTACTTATAAATGAAATAAGGTTCTGTTTAGATGAATTGGATCACTTACTTAATTCCACTTTACAACAACATAAATATCACTCACTAGGCCATAACTCTCTATCTAGTGGCATTTCAGTCTAAGTTGATGTCCCCTAAAGAATGGCATACAGTTAATGCTCAGAATAGTTGTATAAATTTGTAAACTAAGAAAGAATTAAAGGAGCGGTGCTGTGGCTCAAAGGAGTAGGGCACTGGCCCCATATGCCAGAGGTGACTTGTTCAAACCCAGCCCCGGCCAAAAACTGTGGAATAAATAAATAAATAAAGGAAGGAAGGAAGGAAAAAGGATCAAAGATGAATAATAAATATAATATATGACTATTGAATGAAAAAGTTAATGATTAATAATTTAATTCTTAATTATAAAGTCTTTTCTTATAAAACAGATATCCTTATTAATCCCTTTTCACTACTGGCTAAATTAAAGTAACAAGTCCTGGGTCACTATATTTTTCAAGGCAATATAGCGGAGAAGTAAGAGTCCTGCTTTCAGTTTAATCAATACATTCTTCAACTGAATGGAAAACCCACTTTAATACAACCTGAGAAAATCATTTGCATATTGCTTAGATGGTAACTTCAGGTGCATTGCTTTGTTGTATTTTTGATTTAATCTCTCACTTAATTTTTATGTGAGATGAGGCTTACACTTACATTGGGATTGTTTCATAATAAGAACTATAAATGTAAACAGATTTAAATAAAAACTATAAGAAAAAACCCTTTTATTGCACTTAAAATATCTTCTCTATCATATTTCATTTTCCCAGTGGTAATAAATGCCTATAGTAACATATAAAAATATGTTATTTTTAATTAGTTTTTATCCATGTAATCATAAATGAGGAGTTCTCATGTAGAAATTCTTATAAGAGTATTTGAATTAAAAAGGGTGCCCATAGGTAACTAAGTTATATGAACTCTAGAAATAAGATGCATAAAATGAAGGTAGATATATGTTTATAAATATATTTCCTGATCTACTGCTAGAAGAGAATGTCCTACATCCAGAAAGGTAGTAGTAGAAACTATGCAGAGATGGACTAAAGAAACTACTTCAGCACACTGGAAAATAATGTCTGTTCCTCCTTTTCTTTTTTATTTTTTGTCAGTATTCCCAGTACCTTTGAATCTGTTTCTCAGAGATCCACTCTTTTTCTCATGCTCTCTTAAATGCAAACAATCTATGCAGTGCACTTCTAATCTGTTTTGTTTTCATACTATATACCAATGGGTTGAGCACTGGTGTGAGGAAGAGGAAAATATTGGACATGGTAACATGGGGGAGAGGGGAGTGGTACCTGCCTATCCTGTGGATTAGGGCTAAGGCGATGAGTGGAACATAGAAAATGAGGACAGTGAGAACGTGGGAGACACACGTGTTGAGTGCCTTAAGACGTCCTTCCCTGGAAGCAATGCCCAGGACTGTCTTCAAGATTAAAGCATAAGACAGAACAATAAATATAGAGTCAACACCAAAGGAACAGAGGACCAACGCCAGCCCATAGATGATATTGATGCGAATAGACCCACACGCTAGCTTCATCACATCAGGGTGGAAGCAGAAAGAGTGGGACAGGACAATGTTCTTACAGAAGGGAAGCCGTTTGAGCAAGATGGGCAAGGGGGCCATCAGTGCCACTCCTCGAGCGGTAGCAGCCATTCCCATCTGAGCAATGCGGGAGCGGGTCAGAATCACAGTGTAGCGAAGTGGGTTGTGTATGGCCACAAAGCGGTCAAAGGCCATAGCCAGCAAAATGGCTGACTCCATGGAAGAGAAGGTGTGGATAAAGAACATTTGTGCCAAGCAGCCATGGAACTCAATCTCTCGGTGGTTGAAAAGAAAGACATTAAGTACAGTGGGCAGTGTAGAGGCTGACATGCCTGTGTCAGTGGCTTCCAACATAGACAAGAATACATACTGAGGCTCATGAAGGCTGGGATTCTTGTGTATTATGTGAATGATGATACTGTTCCCCAAGATGGCAATCACATACATGATGCTTAATGGAATGGAGATCCAGATATGAGCATCCTCAAATCCTGGGATCCCCGAAAGAAGGAAGAAGGGTGGCTGGTAGTGGCTGTCATTGAGCACAGACATGTTGATTAAACCTAAATAAAAAATAACATGAATGGGAATGATAAACAGTAAATTTAATTCAATTTCATTCAGTGGTCAAATAGAGTCTAGAGATGAAGGCAAACACAATATCTGTTGTATACAGAGGAAATTGAATAGAATTAAAATCAAGTTTAGTTAAAAAAGCTTATATGAGAAATTGTTTTAGGTGATTTATAACTATTATCTTGTAGAAACTTGTGTAGTTATAATGGTGGCCACCAAGTACTATAATGCCAAAGGATTTTGAATGCAAGTTCTCAAAGAACAAATTAAGATTCACAAATAACATCGTTCATTCGTCAACTTAAAATACTCAGTGAAAAGCAGAGAGACAAAGAGTAGATTAGTCAACACATTAAAATAGTGAGCAAGTGTGTAAGAGAGCCCACAGGATACAACCCCTGGATTACACAGTATCCATAGTCTTTGTCATGATGTTGATGGTGTGGTCAGAAGCACCAGAGTCAAGGTTAGAGCAAGAGGATCCCAACAAGGTATCTGGGGTCAACATTCACACCTGCTGTGTCAGACACAGAGCATTATATACGCACGGCTGCAAGTCTAATTCATCAATAAGACATGAGGTTTACCTGTATTTCTTATGCTGAAAACACATGGGGTCAGAATAAAACCACAGTGGTGTCATTAATGGTTATGTAGTACATGGATCATTCTGAAAGTTTTGGAATACACTAAAATCAAAAAAACATAAAATCTGGGCAGCTGTAAACAAATTATGCCTTCCCAGGCAAACAGCAGTTTGTATCAAAACTTTCACAGTATGGCAAGAGTATACCATATCTGTCATGTTACATGTGGCATTACCGTATTTTAGGAATTATTTATTTAGCCTCTTTTTTATCTATAAATAATACTTTTGTTTGTTCTATTCTATATTTCATGCATCTCTGTTTAACATCACCTTCCATTCACACATGGTAACATGTTCTACAGTTTACCCATTATCTATAATTACCATAAATTATAATGTTGCTTTTGTTTTACAAACTACTTGTTTATTCTTTACTTCTATAGTTAATAAATGCCATGCATTTTACATGTGAAGCATAAAATGCTAGTTTATTCACTTTGGACATATCATGAATTTCACCTATTCTATTTGTCTCGTTTCTTGTACTTGAATTAAATATTCTCAAGTAGTTCAACATACATACACATTCATTACTGTTGGTGAAGATATACAGTGAACTATATAATTTCTGTCTACACATGTGCCAATGTTCAGAGTGTGGTAAGCAATAAAAACAAATAAGCAAGTATTACCAATGAAATTCATGAATTGTGATATAAGAAGCCCCTATAAATAACATGGAAACAGACATTTATCCATCATCTTAGAAGATAGAACAGAATCCACTCTCATTTTAGGAATGAAGTGATGGAGGTCTAGTAAAAAGTTATCCTCATCTTATAGATGGTTTTGCTTTCTACAGTTGAAAATACCTAAAGTCAACTAAGTCTGAACATATTACAGTGCTTGAGAGACAGAGAGAGAGAATATTCAAATAGCTTTAATCATAGCATATTGGTATAATTGTTATATTATATTATTATTTTTAATTCTTCTGTGTCTCATTTATAAATTAAACTTTACCATAATTATATATCTACAGGGAAAAATGGTATAGTGATAGTGTTCAGGACTTTCTAAGATTTGAGGCATCCACTGGGGATTTTGAAACATTTCCCTGTGGATAAGGAGGGAGTACTGTATAAGTGATTTGTTTAACAATGAATTGCTTGTGGCAAAGAACAATTTTCAGCCCGTGTTTCCTAATTCAATATATGTTTTTTTATCAGTTATATATACATATATGTGTGGATATATAACAACATGAATCTGCTTAAAAAATAGAAGCAAAATGCCTAAATAAACAAAACCATAAAAGAAGATTGATATAGCCAAAATTGAAAAAGCAGAAATAAAGAGTAGAAACCCAGAACTCCTTTCTTTATGTAATAAAAGACAGAATAGTAAGTTAAGAAACATAGAGTCACCATGTTTTTATCAGCACTGAATATGTACCAAGTATAATGGGATTTGTGGCTGATGCATTTGACATATAACTTACTATTCTTGCTCTAAAGTACCAAATAGTGTATGTTATTTTGGGAAGTTAAAAACTATGAACAAGGAAAGACACTATACAGAAACTTACTAATTGTTTTTCCTTCCAATATTATTTCATTTGATCATAACCTTCAAGGTTTATTGTACCAAAACCAAAATAAAAATAAAACAAAGCAAGTAAGAAATCGAATGAACCAATGTTTAACATATATACATAAATAGTAGTCATACAGTGAAAGTCAGTACAAGAAAACATGAACAGTCATGAAATACTTCAAGGAGAAAATGGAACATGAGCTAGAAATTGGGTGATAAAAAACTTCAATTTCAAGAACAAAAAGCAGGAATTCCATCATAAGAGAAAACATATGGAAATCAGAATAAGACTCATGCAGGGAAGGGAATTAAGGATGTTCTTCTGAATGGAATGAAGAGTTGTAAAAACGTGGAATGGTAAAGTAAGACAGAATAAGAAGTTTGTGCTTTTGTTGGAGACCAGAAAGCCAAGAAAAATAAGAATATGGTTCAGTGAAGATTCTACCAAGTATCACAACACAGATCCACTAACATGAAAGGGAGTTTGGATCCAGGACAAATCCCTTGGAACCTCTGATAGTAACCAAGATGTCAAGGGGTAAGTGCCTAAACAAGAATGTTTGATCCACAAGAGACACAGACAACATCATTGTCAAGAAAATAAAAGTTAGATTTAATTAACTAGGTAAAGATGGATTTTCCCATTCCCTAATTTTACACCAAGATTTTGAGCCTGATATCTTGATTTATGGAATGACATGAAAGAACATTTTAGGCAATTCAAATGAGAAGCTATGTTTTTCAAAAGAAAATTAGCAAAAAGAATATATATATATATATATATATATGGAAAACATTTTAACCTATTGGCTAGCATTATCTCTAATGGCTTATTGATTGTTGGAAGCATCATATTGCATGGAGAGGTAGAAGTTAGCTATGGTGAAGAGGACATATAACTCATGTGGAGGTATTAACTGTAGTTCAGAAGAGGTGATGTCAAAAATGAAAAGGGTAAGAAGGAAGAATACAGCTAATGATGCTCAGAAATGCTCACAGTTAGGTATTTGGAGTAGGAAAAAGAGCAACGAAACAGAAGATACATCATAGGAAATTAAGAACAAAATATAACTGAATAGTGGAATGCCCTGGAAATAAAGAAATGAAAGTGTTTTGATATAAAGATATAGTCAATGGAAGTAAATGTTCTATAATACAATTGGAGAACTATGAACCCTATTACCTCCATGTTGCACTTGGTGATTAGAAAAGTTGTTGTTAAAAAGTATTTGTCAGAGAATATTGCACAGAGAACAAGAATGAAATGCGGCATCTATTAGTGAATGGGAGTAAGAAACCAGTAGGAGAAAAATATAAACTCTAGTATATAAGTTATAGGATTTTTAATAAAATAACAGAATAAGAAAGGCAAGTTGTTGAGTTTGCAAGGTTAAGCTCTGAAGTCAGATACCGAAATCTGAATCCTGCTTTTCAATCTTCTCTAATATATGAGATGGTGATTTCAGGGTAGCTCTTTAACTCATCTGCTCCTCAGTATCCTCTGCAAAGGGATAATCTGGATTCTATTCCACAGTCCCTAGAGAAAGACTTCAAACTAAAAAGAACAGCAGAGTTTGCACTATTGGAAGTAGGGAAGAACAAACAAAGTAAACTGGGTAGAATTTAGGGAAAGAGCAGGCCATTTATCAGAGAGTGTCTCCCTTTCCAAGTTCTAATTCTGGAAAGCCCTTCTGCTGTGGATTACAAGAGAACAATCACTTTGAAATCTTCTTTTGGTCACTGCACACAAAGGAAATGTGAAATTTAGAAATTTCTCTTCTAAAGTATACCTGAATTTTTAGAAAATACATACTGTATCACATATTTGCTGTGAAGAAGGCTGACTAAAAAGAATATACTAAAATATGGGACCCTATATTTTTACGAGTCAATTTAAGAAGTTAGATTCATAGAGTAAAGAGTCCTCTGAATTATTCTTGGGTGTGTGCAGACAGGAAGGTCTTAATTCGTTATTGTTAATAGGCAGGAACTATGCCATGGATCTGGCATGAGAGGCAATAAGACTAAATTACCAAGTAAGTGTCATTTCTTATGTTTTCCTCAAGTATCCCTACAAAATAAAATATGTGAGGATCTGCTATCCTTTCATAGAAGAGGAAAAGTTGTACTTTTGTAAACAATCTGTTTTGCATTTAATATTTAAACAATTCAGAAAAAAAGTAACTCAGTTTCCACCATGATAAGGAATTTACTATAGGAAAGATAAAAATGTTTGAAAAAAGATAAAATGGATGATTAGAAGCCTATGGACATGGCAAAAAAGAAAAAAAAAGAATAAGCAGTGCATCAGAGTATGGAAAGAAAAAAAAGTAAGAGTTAAAACTGATAAAGGAAAGAAAGACAATGTGAAGGAATAATCAGTCTTGATGATTTCATTACCTCAATTTCAGCCACTATAATAGTGTTTTAACTGCCAGCTTTATCCAGTCTATGCCCATCTTCCAAGAACTTCTCTGAGTTGTAACAACTTACTGCTTTCAGGCCTTCGTTGTAAATTCTAGTTAGAAATGTCCTAGTTTACATTTGTGGCCAAGACATTTAGGAAGATAGTAGCATGTGACAGGAACAGAGGTAGTGCTGGAACATTTATCCCTTCTCCAGGTTGAAAATGTGAAAGGCAGTTAATAGGCCATTTGTCTATTCCACATCCCTGGAGGAGTGAAGAGGCTTTGAAATGTCTTGGGAGATAAGAGAATCTCTGAGAGAATAAGATTGGGAAACTAAAAGTGAGAAGAAAAGCTCAATAAATGTCCCTTCATTCTCCCAATAC